AGATTTGGATCAATCTCGCCCAGCCTTTTCTTTATCAAGGAGGCCAACCACAACGATTCACCCGAGGCGATTTTGTCGTGGTTGCGAGAGATCCCAGACACCTTCTGGTCCATGCGAAGAACTCTTCCATTGATCTTTGGCTTCTTGCTGCCCATGCTCCACACAGCGGTGCTGACCCCTCAGTTCGTGAAGAATGGTGGCAAAATCTTTCCACCCTGATCAGCACACACGCAACTGGGGACAACATCATTATCATGATTGATGCAAATGCGGCTACAGGACCACAAGACGGAAGGCACGTCTTCCACAATGATGACAAAACAACGGCCAATACAGGACATTTTCGTGCCCTTCTTCAGGACCATTCACTGTGTGTGCCTGCGACTTTGGACACTCATGAGGGACCACAGGGCACGTGGATCAGCCCAATCGACGAGTCTCTGCATCGCATTGACTACGTCCTGATACCGTGTCATTGGCAATCGCGTTGTACATTCTCGATGGGCCTTTCCAACTTGGATTTTGGACATCTCGGGGATCATCAAGCTACGGCTCTACAACTTGAGTGGCAAGAGGATTTATCAATCCCACGACGCGCTCGAGGACGAGGTCATGATCGCACACGAATCAGACACAGTGCCTTGACCCATCAACTTCAACAATACCAACCACTACCTTGGCACACTGATATCGAGAGACAGGTTGAACATCTCAACGAGCATTTGATTGATGTTCTGCACAACAACTGTCCAGTTGCCAAGCGAGGCCCCAAGAAGAGCCACATCACCGATGACATCTGGCAAATGAGAGCGGACAAACTATACCAACAGAGGAAGGTTCGTCAACTACGCTATCAGTTGGCACAGGAGCATCTGCATCGCTGCTTTGCGGCATGGAAAGGGCATTTTGGGGACCAAGAACAACAAGCATCCCGGCAATTCACAGCGACTGTGCGACGCCAATGTGTCCATCGAAGCATTCGACTCTGGCAGATCACACGGGCGTTGCGCAAAGCATTGTCACAGACCAAACGGAATGCGGTCCAGAAGGCGATTGGAGAGTTGCCCACAGACAGTGCCGCATCCCAGATCCTCTATGCCCTGAAGCCAGTGATTGGTCCGACCAATCCTAAGCTGCGCAAAGCCACACCATTGCCACAAGTTCTGCAAGCAGATGGAGCACCCTGTGACAGCCCCGAAGCTCTAAGAGACCGGTGGATTGGCTTTTTTGGAGCTATGGAAGGTGGCGAAAGATTGTCAATGCCTCATCTTCGAGATCTATGGATTCAGCAGCTGCACCACTTCATGCAGAGCGAGCTGCACCTGCAGGCCTCCGACCTGCCGACCCTCACAGACCTCGAAGCGGCATTTCGCAGAGTCAAGGACCACAAAGCTGTGGGAGAAGATCACATTCCACCTGAACTATGCCACCATTTCCCTGTGTCCATGGCCAGGTGGGCATACAGCCAACTTTTGAAGCTCTGTACACACGGACAAGAGGCCTTGTTGCACAAGGGTGGGGTCCTTGTAGCTGCGTGGAAGCAAAAAGGCCCTCAACACCTTTGTGAGTCTTATCGGTCCTTGCTGATCAGCTCACATGTGGCCAAATCAGTTCATCGAGCAGTTCGGGACCATCAGTCAACCATCTATGAGGCCTTCCTACAATCGGCCCAAATAGGTGGCAGAAAATCCATCCCGGTGTCGCTTGGCGTGCACTACATCAGAGCTGCGGCCCGCAGAGCAAAACATCTGGGCAGATCTCACGCCCTGGTCTTCTTAGACCTCAGGGAAGCGTTCTACCGTGTCTTGAGACCAATCTCGGTTGGCGGCCACATCCCGGACTCCTTACTGGCCACGGTTGCAGCCCGGCTGCGTCTACCAGCTGACGCTCTGGCGGATCTTCAAGCTCTACTTCAACTTCCTTCTGGCACGAGCATGGCTGGTTTACCACGACATATGTGCCGAGCCCTGCAAGCCTTGCATACCAACACACATTTCAAGATGATGAACCAGACAGACAGAGTTCACACTCTCATCCGCAGCAGGCCTGGTGACCCGTTTGCCGATGTAGTCTTTGGTTACATGTTCTCTCGAATCCTCACCAATGTCGAGAAGCTGCTGGGGGAGATTGGCATCTTGGAGACCTTTGAGGATGTTGGGGCCACAGGCATTTTCGTCGATGCCGCCAATGCACCTGTTGTGGAACACACCCTGCTGGGGCCCACCTGGATGGATGACCTCTGCCTGACCTTGTCCCATCAGACAGCTGCAGGGGTGGAAAGTCAAGCAGGAGTAGCGGCCAGCATTTTGCTGGAGACATGCACAGCACATGGGGTTACCCCCAATCTTGACCGTGGAAAAAGTGAAATCCTGTTCACTTTTAGAGGAACGGGTTCCAGGAAGTTGCGTGTCAAATACTTCAGTGCCGCCAATGGACAACAAATGCCCATCACCACAGAATATGGCACGCAGAACATCTCTGTTGTGGGCCATTACACCCATCTGGGCAGTATAGCTCACCACACAGGCCTTTCACACAGAGAAGTCCGGAGAAGGATCGCGATTGGCAATGCGGCGTTCGCGACCCACAGAAAACTTCTCTTTCAGAATGCGGCCTTTTCGATTCAGCGCAGAGCAGAACTGTTCCAGTCGCTTGTGGTTAGCAAGATTGCTTACAGCATGGAATCATGGACATTTGGCGACAACAAGACCTTCGAGTACTTCCGTGCCGCCATCCTGCGCCTTTACCGTCGACTGCTCAAGTTGCCGCCAGACGCAGCTATACAAGATGCGGACGTGCTGACTCAAGCATCTCTGCCAGCACCAGAGGACATGCTCCGTATTGTGCGGCTTCGCTATCTTGGTCTCCTTTACAAGTGTGAAGCAGTCACACCGTGGGCCATCTTCCGAGCAGATCACAACTGGCTGGCCCTTCTTCGTGATGATTTGCAATGGTTATGGGCTCTCATCGCAGACACGAGCAGACTGCGTGACCCTGCACAACACTTTGAAGATTGGGAGTACGTGCCCCGCTACCATCGCAGCTATTGGAAAACACTATTGCAACGTGGAGCCCGGCTTAGCTGCATGAAAAGAGAAGATGATATGATGATTCGTCGACTACATCAAGATGTTCTTTGCCATCTATCTGATCGAGGCCGACTACACACAGCTCCGGTTCGAGAACTCTTTGACGAACGTCAGCAGCAGCACCACTTTGGATGCATGTACTGCGCCAAACGCTGTCGTTCAAAGGCAGGAGAGGGAGCACATCTTTTCCGTGCACATGGAATTGTCGCCCATGAACGACAATGGATTGCTGGCACCACATGCGAAGCCTGTCTTTGTGAATTTCACAGTCATGACAAGCTGCAGGCTCATTTGCGCACCGCGCATCATTGCCGCGGCGTACTCAGCTCGAGGCCGATCTACCAGACAGTTGCCCCAGGCAAAGGCTCGAAGATCAACAACGAGCTCCGAGAGCGTCATGACGGTCTATTACCGGTACAGAGAGTCCATGGCCCACATCGACGAGATGTACCACCAGGACAAGTTGAACTTCATCATCAACCACTCTTTGAGGCTTTAGCTTTACAGATCTATGAGACGGACGAGAAGGACCTTGCACGACTGTTCACGGCCCTGCAGAACACCATTAGCGAGCACTATATTGGCTGGACTCAGACGCGCGTGACTCTGCAAGCGGTGGCGCAAGGATTTACGGAAGAAGCTGTCATGGATACGCACCTCACACGGGAGCAGATTCAGCAACTTCTTTCTGACCTGGGAGACGCAGCCCATTGGCCTTTTCTCCAAGCCGTTGAGACCGACTCTGCAGAAGCGTCTCATCTCTATCCCCTTGAACTCTACGAGCTGTGGTGCCACGACCTGGCCAACCTGGAGTGTGCCTGGAGCCCTTTTACAACAACCTGCCCTCGCGTCTTTTACCGTGAACGCGTGATCCTGCACGCCTACTCGGGCAGACGGAGGCCAGGAGACTTCCAGTGGTTTGTCGACAAGATCGCGGCGACCAAACATTTGCAGGATGTCATGGTTGTGTCGGTCGATTTGGTGATCGACAGCACCTGGGGGGACATCAGCCGTCCCAGTACACAGAAATACTGGCTGGATGCCATGGGAGATGGCTACGTGATTGGGATGCTTAGTGGACCTCCCTGTTGCACGTGGTCGATTGCTCGTGGCAAGGTCGTTCTGGGACCACAACAGCCTGTACATCGTGGACCGAGGGTCATCAGGACTCGGCAGTTCCTTTGGGGATCGCCGTCCCTCTCTTTGCGAGAAATGCAACAACTCCACGATGGCCATGTGCTACTGGGCTTTAGCCTACAAGGAATGGTGCGACTCTCCACCACTGGAGGACTTGGTGTGTTGGAGCACCCAGGAGAACCAGAACAAGCTGATGCGGCAAGCATATGGCGCCTCCCGCTCATGCAGTTTGTCTTGAATCTCCCGGGTTTCCAACTTCGAGAATGCGCTCAGGGTTTACTTGGTGCAACCAGCACAAAGAGGACGGGCCTGCTGACCTTGAACCTTCCGGATCTTCCACTGCATATCAGGGCCAACGCGATTCGACCTGATCTTCCTCGTGCCGCCACGATCGGAGTCGACGCTGAGGGAAGGTTCCGAACGGCGATACTCAAAGAGTATCCCCCGGCTTTTTGCCGTGGGTTAGCAGAAAGTTTCCTCTCACACTTCCCACCAGTGGACCATCTGGTGGACCTGGATCAATTACCTGAGACTTTCCTAGCACGCTGCCGCAGCATGGTCAGCACAGAGATGGGCCATGCTATTGGCGCGGATTTTGCCAGGTAAGTGAGACCAGGAGGAATTCAACATGAGCAGAACCTGCCGCAGCGAACTCTCGCATCCACATGCAGTCTGACAAAAAATATATATTAATATATATATATATAAATATACATATATATATATATGCACAAGATGCACAATGAATGTCAATAAACATCCTGAGTGCCAGACATTAGGCCTCGCCAGCACAAGCCCAGCTGAGCGCTAGGTCGATCCAGCAGAAACAGCCCGGTGAAGCCAGGGGCCCAGCCCACCATGGCCGCGACCTGCTGTGACTGTGCTGTGCCCTCCATGGCTCCATGGCTATATCAAAATAGAGACCAATAGTAAGATCCAGAATGAGATAGAAATTGATAGAATGAGATCTAGATACTGTACCCAATAAGAAGACCCCAAATGAGTAGATCCTAAACCATCCTAAACCACTGTTTCTCGGTGTCTTTTGGGAAGTCTTCAGGGGTTCTTTTACATTACGGGCAAGGTATGAGAGATCGGTTGCCACTTCACCCGCGAAGCCTGGCCTGACTCGCACCATTCATGATGTTGCAGGCACCTTAGAATCCGAACTCGAGAACGTGCATAGCGTGAATAGTGAGAGGGAGAGGAAGAAGGAGATCCCTGGCGCCTGATGTTTCAGATGTTTCACATGCTCAAGAAGCATGCCCATGCAGCGGTACAGAAATTGATGTTGGATAAAAGGATGATAAAAGGATGTTGGAACAAACTGAAACTTGGATCTATACTAACAAGATTTCTTCAGTTTCAACTATTGGTCGGTCGGCTTCATTGACCTTGACACTTCGCGAGAGATTCCTTTGCCAAGTTGCCCAGGTGAGGAGCCACAGTACCTCACACGATCACATGCTTTATCAGCTCAGAATTTTCCTGAAGTCGGTATACCCAAAGCTCGGTGAATTTAATGATGAATGATATACAATACATATAATAGAATACATATGTATATATATATACGTATAACAATACAAAACATATATTGAAACACCATTTAAACCCTGTCGAAACCTTCACATCTTTCCACTTCCACTAATGCTGGGATGTTCCCCATCCCAACCGGGATTTGGCGCCTCCAAGAGCACTTGCACCAACCACAAGTGGAACAGCCAATTGTGAGGGCCGCAAGGGCGTCCAGAGGCGGAAACCAAGAACCTGGGACGATGGCTGACGCTCCGGACTGGACACACAAAGGACCCATCCTGAGGCCCACCCTGATCGGATCTGATCGGTATATCCCATGCTGATCGGATAGAGATGGAGAGATTGAAAGGAAGAGCCCTTCGTCTCCAAGCCTGTCCCACCCACTGCACTCCCTCTGAAATGCCGAGGCACACGCATTTTAATGCGTTCCAAATGTGCCGACGACAGACGTCGTAAAGGCAAAGAATTGCACGAAGGCTCTGCGCGGGTGTGGCATTGAGCAGGGATTAAATCATGTAAAAAGTCTTGGTGTGTGACAAATAAACAACGAAAAAGACGGAAAGTCCTGAATTATCCAATTGTCCAAACAACGTAACGAGACGTTTGACTCGCTCTTCTGCTTGTAACTTGTAGTTGTTCCATTCTAAGTAGCAAAATCAAGCCTCGGATCTCACAGATTCTCCAACTCTCCAACAAATCTTCCAACTCTGCTGTTTTCAAAAGCTTTTACAAATCTTCCAATTTTCCAACAGGTTTTGCCAAGAAGTCGCTGCCTCTGCTGGCATCACACTCATCGAAGCCGGTGGAACTCGCTGGGGATGGCAGCTGCAGAGGCTTGTGGTGTCGCAGGGCCCGTGCCTATCAACGAGCGCGAAAGATTGAAGATCTGATTTCGCTGAGGTTGTCGATGAACTAATGCTTAAAAAAATTATAATCAATGGATATTAATGATAATTAATGGATATTAATGGAAATTAATGGATATTGATGGATATTGATATCAATGTCAATGGTAAATATATATATATTATATTATATATATAGCTGTTATATTTACTTATATATAGTCTATTAAGTCTATTATAGTCTGTTAGTGGTAATTTGACCCCCATGGTATGGCCGAGGTCATCAGCACCGAGAGATGCGCCGGAGCGCTTGGCTGACTATATTGCTCGGTTTTGCGCCCTCAAAATCGCAACATTTTGGGTAGGGTCTCCATATTCAGCATGGCTGAATCTGCAATGTATGTCTTCATTCGATCTATATCTATACACCCAATTTTGTCGTGGTCGACCAATTCTATGTGAGTGGTCCATCACTTGACCAAAAGATGTTGCTCAAGTGTCGAGCAAAAAATCAGACTTTTCTGGACTTTTCTGGACTTTTCTGGACTTTTCTGCGCCTCTGCATGCCTCAGAGGTGCCACCATAGATTCCAAGTAAATCGGATACCTTGGCATAAAAGGAACAAGATGGTCCCAGCAAAGTGACACGGGCAGCATTCACCTGAACTTTGATTCACTAATCTGATCAGATTTTCCAAAGATTCAGTACCAGCTCAATATGAAACCGAGCTACACTGCAAGCACGGAGAGACCCATTGCAATGCGTCCAAAGTTGCCCCAAGGAGTCTGCGGCAAATTTTGCCTGAGAGATTAAAAAATCCGCTGTGCTTCAAAACGTGGAGAAAATATGAAAGACATTGAAAGACCATGAATGTTTCGGCATGTTTCGGCAGCTGATGCTTCAGTGCCGGTGCTGATGACAGCGGTTGCCCATCTACCAAGCGGCAGGATGTTGGAGGAGACGTTTGAGCCGTAGAGGCTCAGAGACATGAAGCAGAGTGCGGCAAAGAGCAGGAAAACGAAGACAAAGCCTCAAGAAGTCTACGAAACAATGCCAAAAAAAAACGGGATACAAAACATTACAAAACATCAAACATAACAACCATGAGCAGGTGGGCTTGGCAATCCGCAACCTGAAGATGTAAAGACAAATAATAAGACAAATTGATTTGGACTAGACTTGGTCTTGGCTGTCGGAGTGGCGCTGAGCTTGAGATCTTTGTGACCAATCCAGGGGATCTGAAAATCCGTGACATGACAAGTCGATTCCCTGCTGTTTTCATTGCCAAATAACTCGACAGCAAACAAGCGCTGAAGCGCTTGACACTCCGATCTTTCAATGTCTCATACATCGGGAGCGTGCACATCCTTGGAGAAATTTGCCGGCTTGGTCGCTCACTTGCAATCAGTAAACCTTTGTGAAATGTCTGAGTGTATGTGTATGTTTGTCTGTCTGTACAGTACATGGGAAACAAATGGCATCGATTCAAGGCCTCTCAAACTGAGGATCTCTACTGATACTGCAATGGCCATCACTGCCAAAGCCGGCATCCGCATTGGATTTGAAAGAATAAAGTTTCCGAGTGTGTAATGTTGTTCCTTGCCTCCCAAGATACAAATTGAGGCGAGATGCTGAAAGATTAGGGATTGCATCAATGCACTGCACATGGTGATCAAACCGGGTCCATAGCCGACCAGGCAAAACTCCACGGGCGGCTCTTCTCTCCTCAAACCACTTGGCAGAATTCGAAGGTTTGAGTGCAAAAAGCAGAGTGAAACCAGTGAAACCTTTCCCAAATTGATCTTGCAATGGGAACCAAGCTTCTTGTAGGAGAAGAGCACCGCAATCAAACCTCAGACATCGGCACGAGCACATCTGATTCAAGAGGCTGGTGCTGTAAGCAACACAGGGCTGAATTTAAGCCGCATGGCCGCATGGATGCTTCGTCTCTGCAGCACCGATTTGCTCCGATTTGTTTGTGTGTTTGTTTGATAAAAAAATTGTTCAGGGAGGCTGTTACCGAAATCTCCAGTCTGACATAACTACATCACCAAAACCAATTGCAAAGATTGAGCAAGGCATCCAATGACTCTAGTAACTCTAGTAAAGGCTTTTCAATCAAGAATGCAAGAACCACTTTGAGGATGAAAAGGACTGTTCCAGTCAAATTCTCAATATGTCAATACATCGGTGCTGACGGGCGAGAAGAAAATCTCCAAAGCACAAAGGGAAGAAAGTCCATATCAGCCAAGCCAATTGTTCTCTGCCAAGAAACCAACCAAGTAGACATTGGCTCCCACACTGAGACTTGAGCTAAAGGCCAAGTACTTGGGTTCCAGAAACGAGAGTGGCAAGGCCTTGGAAACTAAGCGATGGGAAACGGCGGCAAGGCCTATCCGCGTCCGTGCTGAGTCCATGCCAGGGCACCACAGCAGCACCCAAGGCCAGGCCATAGGTCTTTGGCAAATGCCAGGATTCCAAAGCATCCGCCACCACCACCAAATAACCCACCAACCTCAGTGACTCAGAGGTCGGATCTCCGCAGAACCAAGCAATGTCCGGGAAATATTGGGCCACAGTTGGTGCATACTACATCTGCATCACATGCTGTCCAAGGATCGTCAAACCCACGGAGAACCAAATGCTCGCATCAAAGAACTGACACGCGAAACCGGGCCAAAAAAGGACATTTTAGGACACTGGAAAGTACGAACGACCTGTGTGGACCTTTGAAACCATTTGATTTGTTGAGAAAGACTTGGAGGTGTCTAGGCTTCTGACGTCGAGAGACCTTCATTCATTGGAAAATGGAAAACAATTAAACACACACACACAAAAAAAAAGAAAAAAAAAACGTGCTCTTGCTGTTCCCGTGGTCGTTCTAGTCTTCCCTCATCTTGAAGGTTGTACCATTGTTGTGAAGGTTTCTTTGGCTTTTGTATGTGTTTATTGTGTTTTGTTTTGTTTATTGTTTCTTTCGTTTTGTTTTTTGTTTGTTTTTTGGGGTTGTTTTTCTGGTTTGTTTGTTTTTTGTTTTTTCTAATTTGCGGGTTTCCAGTAAAATGAAGCATTTTGAGTCATAAGTCTAGGCCTCAGCACAGAGTGTTTCAAGTTGCTTCAAGGGTGATTCACTCATGCACCGGCATTCAAAGAAATTGCAGCCAACGGGCATTCATAGTTTACATGCAGCATTTTGCTCTGGAACATAGTCTGAACAGCGATGCGTTTGGATTTGTTTCCCTCGCAAGTGATCTGCAGCTTGCCACCCTCCCCTCCGCACCAGCCGCAAAGATCGTCCCCACGGTCCAGGCAAATGCCCCAGCACACCACCTAAATCAAAGACTTGAAGTCGCTCCTCAGCTTTGAAGATGGAAGGCTTGGAGATCCCGCCAAAATGAAAGCAAGAGGGAAAATGAGCGTGATGCACAAGTTCAAATAGAGCTAGTTTGTCAGAAAAAGAATCTCCAGCAACTGATGCAGCAGTTTGACTCGCGCTACATTGGAATCTGTGCCTCTTCGAGTGCACATGGTGCGTGCGAAGGCTCTGCAGCGACAACGAGGATGATATTACTGAGTGCATTCAGCACCAGAACCAGAAGAGTAATGCCTCGCAGAGGTTGCCGACGAAGCCCGCAATTTCAATTCGAATCATCAAAGAATTGGCATATCAGAGGCATAGTCAGTCTGACAAAGAGTGGGAGAGTGTCGAATCTGCACAATGTCTCCAGTGACATGTTTGCAAAAACTATACAATTGATATATAGATTCAAATCAAAACAATGCTCTCCAGAGTCCCGGGTCTGCCTTAAACTGATCCAAAAATCATCCAAAAATGGTCCGAAAATGGTCCAAAAATGCCAAATTCTACTCCTTTCCAGCCTACACCTGCAAGCATCGAAGCTCCAGCTGCAGCCCAGGGCAAACTCAGTGCACCAGAGCCAAGGCCTTACTGCTGCCATCGCTACCTGATACCTTTCATGGTTCCAACAACCCGCCTTACAACACTTTTAGATGACAAGTAAAAATGTACACTGCAAAATGTTTCTCAAATGATGGAGGTTCTTTGATGGGCAGATGTCATATACAGCATTTGGGGAAAGATGTCAAGAACTTGAATCTGATATATATATATATGTATATATACAAATATATATATACATATATATATATATACATATATATATATATATATACATATTGTATGTCGGAATATACAGTAACATGTTCCAAAAAAACGTGCGGCTTCAATAGGATATGTCATTTGCTATTCCACGGTCTCTCATTTTGGCAAGCCCAGACTGAAGATACTGAAGTACTCTTTGTGGCATGTGTATACTGTATAATTTGTATAAACATATAGGACATATATAGGACATATATAGGATATATATAGGACATATATAGGACATATAGTTGCATGTTGCTGTTGAATCTACAGCCCGGACTTACATTCGGCGCACCAAAACTTGGATACAGAAAAAAATATCAAAAAATGCCTTGGGCAACATCCAAAAATTGCAGCGAAAATGCTTGCATTCACCAGATTCATCGTAAGAGCCTCAAAGACAAGTACCACTTTGGCATTCTCACCCGGTTTCAATCATGAAAGAGTCCATGTGACAAAAAAAAGGCATGCTACGCATGTTCAAATGCCTTCCAGTATTCCACATATAGAAACAAATTCACAAGGAAAACGTCAAGCTCACAGCATTCCAGGTAGGTAGCAAGCGCTGAAACGCTTCCGACATCTTTGGTCAGCAAAGGCGCGGAGAGCTCATTATCTCCTGTACAGGCTGAACTACCCAGACATTTTTGACGAAATACTGAACGTTTTTGACACATCGTACATATCGTACATTGTTTTGCGTCCTGTGGATACGCGAGGTGAGCTCTCCTGCACGGTCGGATGGTCAAAGGTGGTCAGTGAAAATGTCATCCGTAAGAATATGATGATTCAAGCACTGTTTCATGCCATTCTCTGATTCAAGAGGGAACAGGAACACCGACCTGGTGCTTTGTTCCCAAAGTTCAAGCCAGTGCTGTTTATGAATCTTATCTGAACAAGGTTGCTGGGAGGCTCTGCCCTGCTCGGGTGCCCAGAACTATTTCTGCTTCAATGTGTGTGATCGGAATGGTGTTAGCAAAAAATCATCCTTGTTCTGTGACAAGCAAGCCCCTCATAAATCCAATCAAAGATGAAAGGATGCGCATCAAATAAGCCTCATGCTGTCATGTTCAGCATAACACGTTCCGCTTCCCTCTTTCAAACCGCAACCAGAACCGGTAAAAAGTGTAAGTGTAATCTTCCTCCCAGCACGGGTTTCGCTTGCAGGCCTCTGTCAGCACCATCACATAAGTACCATCAGTACCTCAAGTTGCTGAATCACTAGCTAACAATGGACGGTGCAGTTGAGCTCTTATCCTCAAACTGGATTCTGAGCTGTCCTGATTGAATATATGTTCCCATCATGGCTCGTGTCATCTCTTGCTCGTCTGTCATGACCCCGTGTCCAAGTACCCAGCAGGCTGTACAAAAGAATCAAAAAGAAAAGCATCTTTCATAATACACAATGGCATGGGATATATCCTTTCCCCTCGCGAAATTACTTACTTCCATATATTATGAAGTTTCCCCTTTTGGAATGAACGACCCAGTTCAATCTGCAGATTTGAGCAGTTTTGAATCTTGGGAAAATAAGTTGGAGATGATCGAAAACCTCAAAGTCAGGCTTGCATCTAAAGCATTATATAAATCAATATAATGACATATAATTACAATTTGTAAAACCAAATCTTACATTTTCATATGCTCTTCACACAGTTGCATCTAGGCAAGTGACGTGACTCCGCCATCAGAGCTGGGCTCCAGTCTTGGCGACTCCAACGTGACGTACCGTGAAGCAGGGAACAAAAAAATGTTCAAAGCCTTTGCAACTTCCAGGTGCTCTTAGAGTGCTCTTAGAGTGCTCTTAGTCTGTAAGTCTGTATGCTATGAATGGAGTGATCTTTGTGCAGCATCTGTTGATTTAATTCAAACTGTTTTGTTGTGAGTTGGGGCTGAAGTGGGAGTTTCAAGTGTTCATAAGTGTTTGTACCTGGTTTCATGTTCCCATATGTTCCCTATTTCAAGGACCATGGCAACACTAGGATCAGGTTGGCAAACAAGATCTAGAGCTGTTGCCGGACAAGCGCTGCTACCAGTTCTGGGCATTTCAGCTGCGGAACCAGGATGGAAAGACGAGTCTGACGAGTCTGACGAGTCTGACGTGTCCAGGAGACGGAAGTGCACTTGTCATCACTTGTTGAGTTTCTCTTTACCATTCTTTACCGGACTACCTGCTGGAGGGTGGTTTCAAAATGCAATGGTGAAGAGTCTTCACAGCAAAGTTTTATTCTATAAACATTAGATTGGTTTTCACAAGTGACGAGTTTTCTGACCAGATGCATCTGTGCTCAGGTTCGTACTCGGCTATTTTCGTGATCATACACAGTGTAGTATTTCCTGAAGGGCAGCAGGGGATAGGGGCACAGCACACAGCCAATCTTCGACACATGTCTACAATACAAGTATGAAATAAGAGTCAAACAAGAGGACTGGCTACACTGTATCGCCTCTCAATCTTCACATTGGATACCGTCTTTACACGGGAAGAAGCCAACCATATTTCGAGTCTCGACTGCGATGTCAAAATCGGGGCCGCAAATGGTTTAGATACTCTAGACCTCCCAGTTTTACGGTTTCCAGCCACAGAAAGGGGCAAATTGTCAACGCAATTTTGCTGGAAGTTGTGGAAGCCGAAGGGTGCTGACCCTGCCAATCAATCCATGCCCCATTGAATTCCCCCCCAACTTACGATCTATGGCCTTGTGGCAACCCTTGCCATCACAGTGACAGAATCATCTGAACCGAGACAAGTAGCTGCAGGAAGGGGATGCCAAAGACGAATAATGGGCCCTGGCAACAAACCGGAAATGGCAGATGTGATGCAGCCTGTGTTTGCCCTGCCAACTGGGGCATTCCCAGACAAATTGGGAAAACCAACCGTAAACCTTTCTTGTGGATGGTCTACCCTATCCATTCCTAGTATAATTTTGGATGGTTCTTATGGATGTTTATGGTTTGGACTTGAACACATTCCATCCTCAGAACATTGGCGGGTTGGCGCCTTGGGTGGAGGCACATCCAAATTCATCAGAGACAAGCTGCAGCTGCCAAAGCTGATCTGCGAATGGGCACAGAAAGGCATATGGCACAGGGCCACAAAAAACGCATTATTCAGGAACGCACCTGTGGAAATTTTAGGGTATGTGGACTAGCTTCAGGCAATTGTCATCTTCTCCGCTCGCGTCCACAACCCTTGCACTAGTAGAATAACTGGGCTTGAAAAAAGGGCTAGACTCTCAGCGCCTCTGAGGTGTACTCTTTCGGAGATAAACTCAGAATCTTTGGCTTGCCGTTGGGCCCACCTAGCGGTGAACACAAGGGCAAAATCACAGAAATCACAGATTCCAACAATTTCCAACACCTGTTGGAACAGGGCTATCAGTTGAAGCTGAAAGCACTCGACGTGTTGAACCAAACATGCCAAGGTCACGCACGGCAAAACCAAGATATGGCAGAGCATCCTCACCGTTTTAAGCCAGCACTATCCAGCACTGAAGCTCAAAATCGTCGCTACTTTGAAAATCCTTGGAATACACTTAAGTTCACTTAAGATTTTAATCTTTTATATAGTTCCTATGACATTAGTTCCTCTTGACTGGACTGTCTGACATGCAACATGGATCAACATGGTCTATTCATCGAAGTCCACGAGCTTGAATGCCCCAAAAGCCCCAAAACTCTGTCCACGCTCTTGCAATCGTTGACTTGTAGGCGCCTCGGCACCCATTGGACTCAGTGGACCACATTTCCCACTGGTTTTCCAGTGTATCAGGGTATGTGATTATCTGTTGTATTGAGACATATTGAGACACTGCAAATTTTGTAGCCGCACGGTGAAAGACTATAAATATATAGATGGTTTTTCTTGAATGTCTTTCTTGGATATTGGTTAGACAGTCTCTGCACGTCCCGGCAAGATCGAAACGGAAAGAGGCTCCCTGCGTCTCCAGCTGTGAAATCACTTCAGAGGGGCCTCTGCTGCGTAGACGCTCATCGTCAATGTCTTGTTTTATTTCATCCTACTCAGAAGCTTATGAGCTTATGGATTCACAGCTTTCCTGTGCTTACACAGATCCCTCCCAGAAAGGTTCGCAGCCAAAAGAATTTGACATTAGCAAGCTCCAGAAACTAAATCTATTTCATTTTACAATTTGCTGTGTGCGCATTGGTGAAAAGATCAAATATCGGGTATGGTCATCCCACCATCAGGGATTCCTTACAAGGGGTATGTTAGGGGAATGACCATCCCCTTCTATGCGAAAATCATCCATCTGTTGACTATTTTGACCATGGCTGTGAAGAAAATCGCAAGAGTCAGACGCGGGCCTGCAAGCTCCGAAGTACCAGTGTCGACAGCAACACGGCAACCCTTGCAGAGGTTCCTGGGCGCTGCATGATCTGCATGTCAAGTCCACATCTTTCGACTCAGCGGCAAGAAAAGAGACTCGGAACACTCGAAAGTGGCCAAGTTGCTGCGGCTTCTTGCCGAAGTAGATATCTTCAACCTCCACCTGTCAAACGGAGCTTGTCGGTTTGACTCCGAGAGCAGCTTCTGATGAAGCATCACTGGAAAGGACATCTCCAAGCCTCCCAGTAGCCAGCGTTGCCAGAAACGGGCACCCAGTACAATTCGGATGCCAGGTGTTCCTGCCAGGATTCTTGCGATGGTCGAGTCCTAAAGGCAATGGAATGCACCACGTTAGATCAAAAACCTAAAACGCACCCTGTGGGGACCGGCTCTATCACCAACCACAGCAAACCACTGTTCATGCTGTGTAAGACCAACAATGGGTTTATAGTTTCTAGTCTAGATGTAAAATACCCAAATGCCTTTTTGCCAAACGCTCACTAACTCAAAAAATATTGAAAATATTAGAAAGGCCGTGGCAATTGGTGTCGCGTTTTTTTGTTTTATCTCCACGCCTCCTTGATGTCGCCAAAAGTGATCTCGGACTTCTCATGCTCCGAGTCCGACAAAAAGACGGAAAAAATGGGCTTCCTTCGGGGCTGCAGCGCAGAGATATGGTCAAATGCTAATACATGTTCTCTTAACATTATGATACATTCATTATTGTATGGTCCTCACGGTTGTTATCGCAAAACAAAAATATCCGGCAGCTTCTGATTCTGTATTTCCACAATGTCTGCCCACATGGTTTGCTTGCCTCTTCTACAGCAATGATCTCTCTGACTGTCCCAAACTGATTGTTAATGGTCGATGTTGGGCATTGGCTTGCTGGACACTTCACCCTTCTCTGAGCTCACTGACCTCAAAATGCCAGACTGCTGCAGCAAATTCATGACAGAAAATTCGTTGGACTGAGGCACAGAGGAGCCGTGATAAGACGGACTTGTCTTGGTGGAGAGTCGTGGAAAACGGAAGGTACGTATAAAGTTGCAGTTTACGCAATTGTGCGATTTCAGCGATTTTGATATGACCGTGATGAGATGCAATGAACCAAGGCGGCCAAATAGAAGCCCTGGTTTTACAAAACAATCCAAGTTGCTTGTCTGCAAGCATAAAAACATGGTGGTTTTACTGTGGCCGTATGATGACAATGTGAGCTTCAACCCCCTTTTTGCACCAGTTACATCGAGGTCATGTCCCTTCACCAGAATCATACAGAAACCATAGAAAGACTTGGAAGATCTTGTTTCAACCATCACCCGCAAAGTTGGACAAACTCCACACACACCCCTTTTGATTCCCTGCCTGCGCCATGCTATCCAGGGCAAGGCCAAGCACACCATCAAAAGAGAAGCTTGCAAAGGGTGTGTAGCTCTCTTCCTCGGCCGCACCCTGCAGCCGTTAGGGTCATCACGGACCATTGGGATGAGAGCTCATGCCAGTGAACCCAAACATGTGCCTGTCTTGCCTTGGATTCCCAAGACTAAATTGAATCACAGCCATGAAAAATATGAAGCCTCGCACCACCCCCTGAGAGCCGAGGCGGTAGAAGAGATGAAATTGCCCTTTGAACAGGCGGAGCCAATCTCAGTCATTGAAATAGTGGATGGGTAGATGTTAGCTGACGGAAGTGCTCAACATCTTGTGAGCCAAGACTACATTGAACTGCTACATGTAAGGAGATGTAAGGAGGTTCTGAGATGGGATCAGTCTTCCGTGAAGAAATCGAGGTCACAGGAAAGTCAAACGCTTGGCCACCGGGCACAAATTTGGTCTTGATAGCACTGGCCGGTGATCTTTCCAGTGCCAAAGGTGATAGTAATCTCGTCCTGCCGCGACACTTCCATTGTCGCACGGTGTACTGTGAAAAGGCAGATTCGGCTTAGCACAGAATTCAAGGTTTGAAAAAAAAGGACAGGGCAAAACTAGGCTTCATGACAGGACATCCTGAGCATGATGGAAAAAAAAGACATAGTGAAAAAAGAAACAAACCCCCAAACGGCTTTGTGAGATTCCCCAGCTTCAAGCGTCCTGCTCCATGCCACTAGCAACATTGCTTCCGTCACAGTTGACGGATTTAATCTGGCAGGTTGAAGGATATCAGGACATGGGTCTGGATTGCACTTTTGGGTAAGGATTTCTGCTCTGATCTTCAAGGCTCAACCACGGATTTACCCATACACCATGTTTTGCCAAACCATACCACCAAGAACATAAAATGCATTAAAAACTACATAAAATGATCTCATGCCACTGACCTATGCCTATGCCAGCAACAGTCTGGAGTCGAATTGTCCGACAACTCCATTGCAGCTGCTAGGAG